CCCTTTCTCGCACCTGCGCTTCCGCATCTGCGGACACAGGTGCGCACCTGCGCATTCCACTTAGCTGACCAGACTTCGCACCTGCGGCAGTCTCCTCGCACCTGCGAGCCCACAAATGCGACCCATTCTTCGCATCTGCGAACATTTCTGCATCTGCAGCCTTCAACGCACCTGCGATCATCGCATCTGCGGTTCCCAATCCGCAAGTGTGGACACACCAGAACAACAGCTCCAGCTGCATTTTTCAACTTCAACAAATCCGTTAACCACCCGGAATCACCCCGAGACCTTCTGGACCTCAACCGAAAATACCAACAAGTCATATATCAACATACAAACTTAGTCGAACCTTCGAATCACTCAAAACAACATCCAAACACCAAATTACCCTCGGATTCAAGCCTAAGAACTTCTAAATTTTCCAAATTCGGCAACCGATGTCGAAACCAACCAAACCACGTCCGAATGACCTCAAATTTTGCACACACATCACAAATGACATTACGAACCTACTCCAACTTCCGAAATTCTATCCCGACCCCAATATCAAATTTTTCACGGCCGACCGAAATCGTCAAATTTTTAATTTCACCAATTCAAGCCTAATTCTACCACGGACTTCCAAATCACTTTTCGGACACACTCCTAAGACCAAAATCACCTAACGGAGCTAACAGAACCATTAAAATTCAAATCCGAGGTCGTTTACACATAGATCCATATCCGGTCCACTTTTCTAACTTAAATTTCTCAATTATGAGACTAAGTGTCTTATTTCACTCCGAGTTCATTCCGGACCCGAACCAACTAACCCGATAAGTCATAAATCAATTGCAAGACATAAATTGAGCAGTAAATGGGGGAACATGGTTATAATATTCAAAATGACTGGCCGGGTCGTTACACACTCGAAAACCAAAACCGACCATACAATCAAGTCATCATATATCATATGAAGTTACTCAAAATCTCAAACTACCGAATGGAACGCTAAAGCTCAAAATGATCGGTCAGGTCGTTACATCTAGGCTCGCAATTACTTCTTCTAAGTTAGACTTGATACTTACTGGGTACTGACTGTGGTGTACTCATACTACGCTTTTGCACATATTTTTGTGCAGATCCTCAGGTTGGTCCTACCAGATCTTCAGGATTGGGCTTGAAGTTATCACGGAGACTTGGGGTGAGCTGCACTACATAGATCTATTTCGTAGTTCACGAGTCCCTTTTTTTTTATATTTATTTCGTATTTCTATCTATTGTATTTTAGATAGCTTGATATGTATACATACTTGATCTCATTCCCATAGTTTGCTCGGGTACTTGTGCCACCTAGTCTTGGATGCGTATTGTATTAGCCATGTTTAGGCCTTGCTTGTGGTTTTATCAATGTTATCCCTATTTTTAGACTATTTCCATCTTTTATTGTTATATATCTCTGTTAAATAATAAAAATGGACTTTATTTATTATCTTCGAGTTAGCTTACTTAGCAAGTTCGGCTAGGCACCATCACGGTCTTGAGGTGTGATTTTGGTTCATGACACTTAAAAACATATTTTTCGACCAAAACCCGACCAATTGTTTTTTACGAAACAGCCCAATTCGGTCGGTTTCTTTTTCTGGGCCAAAGTACAAAGAATTATTTTTCTAATCAACTCGGTAATGCATACCAAAAAATTTATTTTTCAAGAAACCGACCAACTTCAGTCGGTTTTTTATTTAAAGTAAATTAATATTCAAAAAACAAAATCAACCGAAACTAGTCGGATTTTTTTTTGGCCAACTCATTTAAAAAGATCGATCAATTTTAGTAAGTATATTTTTTTTAATAAAATCGATTGATTATGTGTGCAAAAGTACGACTAAAGAGTATAAATAAGAAAAGTAAAAGTCGTAAACCAATAATCACCATTGGTCTAGTGATAGAATAGTATCCTGTCACGGTACAAACATCAATTCGATTCTTATATTATGTATTTTTTAATTGCTTAATTTAAAAAATCAAGTGTGAAATTCAATTGACCGACTAATACCGATTGAGTTGGTTGGTTTTTGCTACTGCCTGCTATTTTTTCGACCTACCCAATTTGGTCGGATTTTGATAAGTTGTCGTTCAAGAACAATTCAACTACACCAACACAATCTAATCACAACTTGATTTGATACAACTGATCGAACTTCCGAGTTCCTAACGATTAGTGTTTGCTTTAAACAAGTACTGTAATGAGTAAAGTGCAAGTATAGTGATAGAAAACTTTCATATGTTTTTGTTTTATTGAAAAATAAAGTAAGAGGAAAACTCAAATACATAGTAATGACAAAGCATGCTAAATTCAAGCTTATAACACTACTCTTTTCCCACATTTATTTAGAAACACTATTCTTCGGAGAGTTAATTTGGCGTATCGTCAAAGTTAGAGTGAATAGATAGCATGATTCTATCTTTAATCAGATTAACTAAATAAAAATAAAAAGAGAGTAAGCTTAGCATAGATACATGCAAACTAAACTTTGCCTTAGGCAAGTCACTCATACCAAAAAGAATGATAACGTCTGAAGTAAAATTAAGAGAACATTTAAATTTTGCCTAGAATTCATTCCTTAGATTTTCTATACATTTTAAAATTGCTCAATAAATCTTACTCAAAATGTTATATTTTGACTGTTTAAACAATAAAATTATGTCAAATAGTAAAGGCACAGTAATAGAGCAGTTGGAAGAAATATTAAATTGAATGGCCTGCAAAGGAGAGACACTGTGCTTAACTGAAATGAGTACACTACAAATCACGGATATGCAAATCCAAAGCTGTCCATCTTTTTCACCGGTAAATTACAAAGTTATAGTTGAAAGAGAAAAACTACTAAATTACAAAAGCATCCCTAAGTGGCCATCGCCGTCACCTTTCACTAAAACGAACACCTGCAAGGCCAACACAGTCATTTTCACTTACCTCTTCAGACCATCAAAAGGTTCACACATCATAATTTTTGTCCACTATATCATTATTTACGTCACAAATGTGTTTTTATCCTTTTTATCTTTCGTGAGTCTATGATATACCGGAAATGATATATCTGCCTTCTTAATAGTAGGGTTAATTAGGATATGCATACATAGTATACTCCCCATAACTCACTTGTATGACTATACTGAGTATGTTGTTGTATTGTAAATATGTCTTTTATAAAACTTAATAACGACATAATAAGTTTAATAAAAAATAAAAAATGATCCTATATAAGATTTCCCACATTTTTGCGATTATATGACGTATTTTTCAATTTTATAAATTTTTTCTTATCAGCACTTAGCCTATTTTTGTTTTCCTTGGCGATGAACGCATTGACGCGACACATTTAATGAGAGGTACCGTGGTGTATGTTATTTGCGGATGATATAGTTATGATTGACGAGACACGAGGAGGTGTTAATGACATACTAGAGGTTTGAAGACAAACTCTCGAGTCTAAATATTTCAAGCTGAGCAGGACAAGACGAAGTATTTGAAGTGCAAGTTCACTGAAGTTACATAGGAAGCGGATATGGGTGTGAGGCTCGATATATAAATCATCCACAGAAGAGAAAGTTTTAAGTATTTTGGATCTATAATACAAGGTAACAGAGAGATTGATGAGGATACCATGCATCGTATCGGAGCAGGATGGATGAAGAGAAAAACTGATGCTTATAGGTTACAGATTTGTAGCTTATCATCAACTTCTATCCGAAATAAGAGCAATTTACAATTTATGCAAGAAATTCTATATCGCAAGTTATATGAAACATACTATTCTTAAAAGATTAGTGTCACCGTTTATATGATCTAAGACCGTTACAAGTGATATAATAAGAATGTGATTTAACTGATTCGTGAAAGAGTAAAATGTAATGACCCAATAAAGACATAAGAACAACAACGCGAAGAGGATATCAAGAAAAATACATGTAAAAAAAACAATTTTCTTTATTTATGGAAAGATAATATAAGTAAGAGAGATGACAGATAAAATATAAATTATGATTTTCTTATTTCATAAATTATTTAACATCTATTTAATTATTAATCATATCACAATACAGATAAGCTATCAAATGAGATAGAAAAGTAAATATAAAGCAGTTCTCCATTTATTCCAATTTATAAACCCTATCGTTCTATTTTGTTTGATATTTTTTTATTAGTCCGTTTTAAAAAAATAAAATATTTTTATAATAAAAAGTTTTTTTTAACAATACATATTTTTTTTGACACGCTTAAAGTTATAAGTTTTATAAGTACACAAATATTATAATATATTTAAACTCATAAATTTTAAAAGTTTTTCTCTTTTTTGTAAGTTATGTGCCAACTCAAACTATGCAGACCAAATTAAAAGAGGAGTAGTAATGCTTTTTAATCTTGTGACGTATCTTAAGTTAATTTATTTTGATACAAATTTCATATTTTAGATTTGACCAAATTGAAACAGTCAGAGAAATACTTTTTTATTTTATGACGTTTTATAGTATTTGAAATTAATTTATTTTTTTAATAAAAATTTCATACTTTATGTTTTTGACTTGACACTACCTTTTCAATAATAATTTCAATATTTTCTTTAACACGTCCAATATTGTATTATTCAAATTAACATATCATAATCTGTTCCTAGCCACGCCACACATGGAGCTCGTTTGGATTGGATAAAAAAAAAGTTTTTTAGCTTTTAAGTTAAAAAATAATAAGTTGTGATTGTCCAACTCTTTACTTGATTTAAACAGTTTTAAATTTATTTTAAGTATTTTTTAATTTTGACAAATACTTTAAAAAAATTAAAAAAAACTTAAAAACTAATTTGGCCGGATCTAAACACTCTCGTAATCATAAATGACACAGAAGAATAATAACATTGGCAAAAGATATTGGGGGATTTAAAATTGGGGCCCCGGTTATGTTAACACTGCGCATGTTAGCTGTCTTCACAATCATTACATCTACACTAAGCAGTCCAAAAACAAAAAGCCCCCCATGCATTTAAATCCTATCACTGCACACTCTGCCTAACCTACGCACCCCCATACTCCCCCTCCCCTACACTGTGCTTGCTTGTACTCTTCCCACTGACATTAATGGATCTGTTAAAAGCTAGCTGAAGAGCTATATACCTCCTTTATATCTGTAGCTGCTTCACCTATACATATTTATAAATAAATTAGTATACACAATATTTGACAAATATATTAAATAATAATTTTAAAAAGGACTATATTTGCTGTTACGTATCAGTTTTCGATCTTATGTCATATCATAATTGTTCCGGTTGTATCGCCGATTCGATCTCCGATCGGTTGCTCTGCATCGCATTTTCAAATAAGGAAGAGAATCAGATCGGCGATTTTCTTTCTCTGAATCGCCGATTTTTTGAGAGATCGTCGTTGTATTGTTCAGCATTGATGGATTTGCAATATGTGAGATGAATTGAGATTTTTTCCTTTTTAAAGTTTTATTTTGTTTTTTGAGGAGATGAATCCACTGTGTTGCATTGCACCGGTGTCGATCGATCGCGATAAAGCAAATCCGGCGGTGGTAAAGTCACAGTCCGTGACTCAAAGTCAGCTAGGGTTTGATAACAATGCGGCTGTGAAGCCATTGAGTTTCAGCTCGAGACAAAGCTTTTCTAATGCACAGGTGAATGCTGATTCGGATTCGGGTTTGGTTCATGAAATCGAAGACAACTGGAATGATTCGAGAGAATGTAGTAATAAAGGTTACAGCTGTGGAAATGGAAGTGTTAGTGTAGCTGGAGTGTTATATAAATGGGTGAATTATGGGAAAGGATGGCGTGCGAGATGGTTCGTGCTTGAAGATGGGGTGTTGTCCTATTATAAGGTTCATGGACCGGATAAAATTGCTCTGAGTCCAGGGAAAGAAAAGGGGTTAAAGGTTATCGGGGATGAGTCTTGGAGGTATATGAGGAAGGCTAACAATCGACCGTATGGATCCATCAAGTGGAAACCATTTGGGGAAATACATTTGAAGGTAGATGTGTGTGTGTGTGTGTGTGTGTGTGTGTGTGTGTGTGCGCGCGCGCGCGCGCACCACAAATAAATACAGTGAATAAGTTAAAAACTACGGGAATGCACCTGATCAAGCATATCCTTGTTTATTGTTTAGTTTTGTCTTAACTTTTAAGTTAGTTTGTTAGATACTTGTGAGTTAGCCTTTTTGAACACTTATGGAATGTAATCTTGAAATTTAAGTTTTTGTGCAACTTGGGCAATGCATCAATTTGTATGTTTTAAGGATTGCATTGAAGTTTATCTTAGAAATGTGAACTTTGATTTATCAGTCTGTATACAGGAAATTAGTGTCAAACAGTCTGGACCATAGGACATGGATGCTCAGAAATGCACCATTAAGATATAAATCAAGGAAATTTGTCTTAATTTTCTGCTTCTGTTCCCATATATTGTAGCTTAGGTCATCAGAGCAGAAGACATAAGTTTGTAAAAATTTGTTGCATGCATATAAATATTGATTGAGGAACGTAAATCTTTTACTAGATAAAATGTATGCTGGGTGAAGGAAATGAAGAATGATAACCTTAGGAGGAATAGTCCGATATCAAATGTCTAAATTCATTGTGTGTGAGGAAAGATAAGGCATGCTTTCTTTACTACCAGAGTATCTTATTGTCCAGCATATGAGAGTGAATAAATCATCTCGTATTACTTTACTGGTTGCTGATCCGCCATATGTGCCCTGTGCCATAAGTTCCTACAGATTCTGGATCACTCTTCCATAGTTAATTCTTGTAATTTTCAACCATACTTAATGTGATTCATAAATTATCCTGTACAGATTCTGGAAGTATGCCTGTATCTGTCAAATTACCTCTACTTGTGGTAGGCTGTGGGTATATATATTCTGATCAACTAGCAAAACTACAACAATATGTCATACAGGTCTCCTCAGTCCGGGCGAGCAAGTCAGATGACAAGAGGCTTTCCATATTCACGGGAACAAAGACACTCCATTTGCGATGTCAATCGAGAGAGGATAGGACAGCGTGGATTGAGGCTCTTGGGGTTGCGAAAGATCAGTTCCCCAGGTTGTTGTCAAGTGGTGATTTTGCATCTTCCGAAGATTTTATCGTTTCAACAGAGAAGCTACGATCAAGATTGGTGCAAGAAGGGATTGGTGAGGCAGTTATAAAAGATTGTGAGTCTATCATGCTACATGAGGTCGCTGAGCTGCAAAATCAGTTGAAGGCTCTTCAACTTAAGCATATTATGCTGCTGGACACCTTAAGACAGTTAGAGGTAAAGTAAAAAAATTTAAAAGTTTTTATCTTAAGAGAAGGAAACAAAGTCTTGGTACTAGTCTTTTTTTTCTTTTTATGCATCAAATTTCCTTTACTGAGTTACTTTTCTTGTCATGTTAGTGTTTGTCTATTCTTTCTATTTTTGCTCCGAATTTCCTGGCAAGACCCCCTTTTTTTTCAAATTTTCAAGCCTAGACTTCCTGAGTTCAAGAAAGCATAAAAATGTCTTTAGGAGTCTGAGCTAAAACAAATTCTAGCAATGGAGCCAGTGGCGATTTTGAATTCTTTGGTCAATAAGGTATCTCTCCACTATTATGCCTCAACTTAGATGTCCAAGGCCAGAAAAATAGATTTGATATAGATTAGATAAAATGAGTTGAAGAAAGAAAAGAAAAAAGGAATACTTAGGCTGATTCCAAGATGTATGATTGAATCAAAGTGATTTTTACTTCATTCAAGCATTTTTTCTCCTGTCTCATCTCAATTAAGTAGGGTCATGGAAAAATTTGTCATTGATTTAGTTGCTATTTCTCTGAGAAGGTATTGCACTGCTCCAAGTTTGTTCTTTGAGATGGAAGCTATTTTGTCATTTGTGTTGAGGCTAAGTTTCTGCTTATCTCTCCTCTGCCCAGCTTCTTTGATACCAAAATAAAAATCCATGTGATTTATGAGGTAAAGAAGTAACAGATTTATTTTAGTGCCAAGTTCAAAAGATGAATACAACTGTGAATGTGAGATGGTTCCTTGATGTATGGGCTTGTCAAATATAGTTACATTAGGCTGATATTTGAATTCATCTGCTGATGTTTTGTTTTGATCTCTGAGTTACAATATTGCTACTTAGTTTTCAGTGCACCGGGGATTTGATGCGTTTACAACTTGAAAATTAATGCACTACTTCTCACCCTTTCTTGCAGACGGAGAAAATTGAGCTGGAAACAACTGTTGTGGATGAAACAAAAGAACGAGATTCATGTTGTGGACAAGGTCGAAGATTTAGTGGTTGGTTCCTATCCTCCAAATCCTTTTATATGGAGTCAGAGATTTGTCCAGTTTTTCTGTATATCAAGCATGTTGAAAATTTTAAAGATCTGGCACAACATGTTCTCAGTAGCTTTTGATCGTTGGGTAATTGGCTTGTCTACATTGTTGGGAGCCTACATTTAATACATCAATGTTTATTGATTATCCTAGAACCCTTTTCCAAGAATATAAAGCACTTATGTACATTGCATAGTCCAAAAATTTATGCATCTACGGACACCATTCAATTTCAGTGTTAATGTTCTTGTTATTGCAGATGATCTTTTTGGGATCTGGAGTAATTAAATTATATTCTTAGTTTATAACCAAGAAACATATTAACTTGGTCTTTCTCCTTTTGTAATCTTAAAACAACAGAGGGTTGGCCTATCGGAGGAGACCCTCTGCTTCCAACCATAAGATTGGAGGGCTTGAGTCACCAAGGAGGAAAGAAGTGAGAAAGCTACTACTGTTGGCCCCTCTTTGTTTTTTTTGTTTTTTTTGGGGGGTGGGGGGAGGTTACCATATAAAAAATGACTAATTACTTTTGGCCGAGCGGACAAATATGACAAAAGCCCATTGGTTTTCTTGACAGGCAGCTATGGTAAAGACTCCTATTTAATCTCCTTTTCCCTTCTTAGGTTGCACAGTGGTAACTTCTTGTCTGTATGGTTAGATGTTTTCATTTGAAAATCAAAGGGCTTTTTACATTGTACATTTCATCTTTTAGAAATGCCTTTCAAAAGTTTAGTCCTTATGAAAATCAAAGGGCCTTTTACAATGTAAAATGCAGCTTGCAGAAAACATTTCAAACTTTAGTCCTTGCCATAAATTATTAGGTGTGTCCAAGCAGTAGCAAAGAGGCTTTCGTCCGTTACAGCTGAGGATGATTTATGCAAGTTTGCTGTGAAAAGCAGTTAATAAAACTCTGGGTGGATTTTCTTACATTTCCTTTCAAATAGATTGAAATTATCATTCGTTAGTTTAATAATAAGATGGGAGATTCAACAATTCATATATGTTGCAGATTTCTATTCCATTATGTCTGAGGGCAGTGCTAGCGACTCTGATGCTGACAATGAAAGTCGATATGGAGTAGATGTTGAAACAGATGAAGAAGATGGTGCATTTTTTGATACTAATGACTTTATGTCTGTTGAATCTCTTAGAAGTGCTTCTTATCGCAGTAGAGAGGGTGCTGGAAATGCTTGTAGTTCATTAACCTTTGAGAATGAGAGCCTCTCTGCTCATACAAGGGAAGTGGGGATAGAAGTTAAGGCAATCAAATATCCCTATATTAAAAGAAGGGATAGTCTGCCAGAACCAAAGGAAAAAGAGAAGCCAGTTGGTTTGTGGTCAATAATCAAGGATAATATTGGGAAAGACCTATCTGGTGTGTGTCTTCCAGTATACTTCAATGAGCCTCTATCTTCACTGCAGAAATGCTTTGAAGATTTGGAGTACTCACACCTGGTTGATCAGGCACTGGAGTGGGGAAAGCAGGTAACTTGTCAGCTCTCATTTTTTCTTGTTTTTATAGTAGCAGATAGCTTGTTAAAAAAGCATGTAATGGTAATTCTGCTTGGCAGATGAATAGTTTCCTGCTATCTTTTTCATGTGGTTATTATCACTTGCCTTCCTATCTCTTATTTTTCAACATTGTGCACAATAACTATTGTTTGAACCTGTGATGTGATGAACTGAGTATGCTGGTAGCAGTGTATGCCATCTAAGTGTAAAAAGTTTTGGATTTCGGTATGAGATTTGACTATTTCTTGGAGGAAGTAGCTACAAGTTTGCCAAATGAGGAGTTCTTTTGAGTAGCAAGCTTATTAATTGAGTGACTGGGTCATTCCTGTAAAATAATGGGAACCCAACCCACTTTTTCATCTAAGTTGTTATATAAGATCCTATTGGAATTGTAAAATGGAAAAAGATAAGGCCTTTCTACAGCATTCTCGAATCCTCACCTTGATGGGTTCCTGATACTTGGCTGCCATCAGATCTTATAAGTTCTGCTTGACCCTCATCTGTTACCATTTTCTAATTTCATTTTGGTTAGCAAGTTCTAAATAGTTTCTACTGTGAGTCATGATTATCACATTGCAATTGTCGTGAAACTAGTGTTGTCTATGCAGATGTTTTGATGTTTTTGTATTTAAAATTCTCACTGATATTTTGTCCATGAAATCGCTTGCGATACATGGTTATCGGTAGTTCTGCCTAGATTATATTTGTGTTGCATCTTCAGTAAGTTTTGATATAAAATAATTGACTCTCCCTAGTTAATTTTCTGCAGGGGAATGATTTGATGAGAATCCTTAAGATTGCAGCTTTTGCTGTATCTGGTTATGCATCGACTGAAGGCAGGCAATGCAAACCTTTTAATCCTCTACTTGGTGAAACCTATGAGGCAGATTATCCAGACAAGGGGCTACGCTTCTTTTCTGAAAAAGTAGGACTTTCTTCTGTGAAATGACTAAAGATTTGAACTGTAAAAAACTTCTTCATGAAACTCTATTGCTCCTGTTTCGAACTAGATGGCACAAATCTTTGTTGCCTGTCTCTTCAATAGCTGATCTTGTGTGCATGAATTTCAGGTTAGTCATCATCCCATGGTTGTTGCATGCCACTGTGAGGGCAGAGGGTGGAAATTCTGGGCAGATTCTAATCTCAAAGGGAAGTTTTGGGGACGTTCAATTCAGCTTGATCCTGTGGGGGTTCTAACCCTGCAGTTTGAAGATGGTGAGACATTTCAGTGGAGCAAAGTTACTACTTCTATTTACAATATAATAATTGGCAAAATCTACTGCGATCACTATGGCACTATGCGGATCAAAGGCAGTGGTAAATATTCTTGCAAGATCAAATTCAAGGAGCAGTCTATTATTGATCGAAATCCTCATCAGGTAATCTACGTTCACTTCTATTAGACTTTATCTGATCTTATAAAGTTTAGGGGGAAGCAAGTCCTTATAAGCTATAAACTGAGTGAATCCAAAAAAGTAGTAAGATAGTCAATGTATAGAACTTTCTGCCTTTTCAGATTGTGGTAATAGCATCCCATGGATGAACTGGTATTACCAGAGCCTTGTTTGGAATAGCCATTTACTAAATAAGCGCTGATGAAATGCTCCTTTTCTGACTGCTGAATATTTGAACATCTTGTCTTTTCAGATCTTTTTAAATTATGAGAAATTAGTATCTTTCAAGCCATGAAAATTATGTCAACATCCATTTAAATTTTGAATGGAGGATCATATGTTTCTATTTGCAATCAAAATAAAAGATTAACACCTATGTTCTGTAAAAAAAAAGGTTCATGGATTTGTGCAAGACAACAGGACAGGAGAAAAAGTGGCCATGTTATTGGGGAAGTGGGATGAAGCATTGTATTATGTGTTGGGAGATCCAACTACAAAGCCAAAGGGTTATGATCCGATGACTGAAGCCATATTGTTGTGGGAGAGGGACAAATCTACTCCTAAAACAAGATACAATGTCACACCTTTTGCAATATCTTTAAATGAATTGACACCTGGCTTAAGAGAGAAGCTGCCACCAACTGACTCGAGGCTGAGGCCTGATCAGCGCCACTTAGAGAACGGAGAGTACGAGCTGGCTAATGCGGAGAAGCTCAGACTTGAACAGTTGCAGAGACAGGTACTCATTCATGTCTTTCAGTTGTAGTTTGGTTGTGCACTGCTTTAAGTGGTTTCATTTGAAACATAAAAATGGGATGAAGGAAAAGGTGGCATTCAGGCAACCATCGATTCCACAATGTTAACTTCCGTCTAGCAAAACCCTGCTTCTTTTATATACATGGAATTACGGAAACAGTATGAATCATATGATTTTCTTCTGTCTACATTCAATCAATGTTCATGATATTGGTATCTATTCGCTTTGGATCTTACTTGAAAGTTGAGATGTCACTGATGCACATTTTGCTATCTATTTGATCTTCTATTCTTATTTTGTCTTTGTTAAGAGCTCTTTGAAAAATTTACTTACTTATCTATTTCGTCATAAACAAAGAGCTCTGTGAAAAATCATGCTTCGGTTTAATCCCTGATAAGTTATGTCATCTCAATTGGCTATGAAGAGCAGACAGAAGTAAGAAGCTAGAATGTCTTTTCCTTTTTGGATCTTTCAAGTCCCATAAGCTGCAAGTACAATAGTACCTAAGCTTTTGAGGACGGTGTATACCACATTTATCCACGTGGAATGCTTTTTCCCTGGGGAGGAGAGAGAGAGAGAGGGGAAGGGAGGGAGGCACGTTAAAGAGTGAAGAGGAATTGCTACAACTTTCCTTCTCAGAAAAAAAAAAAAAAAGGGGTTGCTACAGCTTTAGAAGCTACCTGTTTCATTTTAGCAAAAAAAGCATGTAGCTTCTGTTTTAGTTATCCTACCTAAACACATTAATTTTCTGCAATTTTTTGAATTCACCTTAAAATAGTCGATGGCCGATTAACCAAATTATAATTGGTACTGCAGGCAAGGAAACTACAGGAGAGAGGTTGGCGACCAAGATGGTTTTCCAAGGATGAGGATGGTTGTTATCGCTATGGTGGTGGATACTGGGAAGCAAGAGAGACACATAATTGGGAGGGCATCTCTGATATATTTGGGCAGACTAGTGATCCTTCTCCAGTAATCGAGGAGTAATTGCCTGTTAAGCCTGCTCTTCATTTCTCTTGGAGGTACATCTTATGTGGATTTCTACCAATTAGGATTTGAGTTTGATATTCTTTTTTCACTATAAAACTGGCTAGTTTAAGCGATGTGTATAGCTCTCTTTAGGTGCTTGGTCCAAAGTTCAGCTTGACATTTTATCTCATGGAAAGTTCGGAAATCATTCAGCTGAGACTTGGAACTGATATCTAAATTTTAGACTGTTCAAATGAATTATTCTTCAAAAATAAACTCTCTAGTTTACTCTCAAAATTCGATTAGTATACACCAACTAAAATGGAGCTCTGAGATGGGCAAAAATACTTGAGCTTAGCAGAGACTTTGCAAAACTTCAAAGCGATTCAACAATTCTTTCCTTTCCCTCCTCTTCCTCCCTCTCCCACTTTTCTTTATTTTCTTATAATTATAATATTGCAAGATAGAAGATTTATAGAACCCTAATTTGCCTTAAAAGATACATTATTTAATATTGAAATGAAATGGACGTGAAAAAAAATGCGGAGTAATAAATATAGACGAATTATATAATTGATTTTAACTTGGTATTGAGTCAAGTTGATTGGTTGATACAATGGAGTTACTGTCAAGCAGTTTTATTACTATCCTCCAATATCTTAAAATTTCAACAAGGTATCGCTAGACTCGCCTTATTATTAAAACCATGAAACTTTCAGATATTGAACTTTCTACTATTGGTCTTGTTTATTATTCTTAATACAAATGCCTCTAAGTTTCATGTCAAATTAAGACACTCCTCAATTTGGTTACAGTGATCTAATACACGCTATTATGTTAATGTATCCATTATATTAATATATCCATCAAGAGTCGTCAGGACCAACCATTTATAATGCCATGTTTTTTAAATTAACGGAAGATTTGCTCAAATAAGATTAGTTCAAGTTGCTATTTAACTTTTGTCCTAGGTTTTGCATAAATAATTGGTCTGAGGTGGGCAGGATAAGTTTGAACTAGCCTAGCCTAGCCTAGAAGTTATGCTCCACCAGCTTGATCTTATATTTGTAAAAAGTTTAGTTTTAAAAAATGGGAACGAAATTTAAATACCAACCCGTAAAAGGAATACCGAGCACAAATTCTTGTAAATTAACAAGTCCAAGTTCTAAGTTGTTTCACCACTAATTAGCAAGAATTTATGTTCTGAATTCTGATAGTGTAAGGAATTATTAGGTTTATACTATCATGTTAAATGGAGTATTGGCCAAGGGGAATTTCTATATTTCAATCCTAAAGATCTTCCACATCACATAGCACAGCAGGTGTTTGATAGAATACAGATGAGGCATAGATTGAAGAAGAACAAAATTTTCTCACCACTAATTAGGATAGTTCCTAAGCACCTTTTATTACTACAGTCTACAGAGGTTTGGCTGAATTGCCCCCGGCCCTCTCTTGTTTTGTAGTAATTTTTTTGGGTATGAATTATGATAATTGAAGGAAGGAAGGCGCCACCTCACGGCGTCAATTTTATAAAACAAATAAGTACGTACTATTATGTTATATTGATCTACAATACTAATAAATTTACATATCAAATATGATTGGCTAACTTTGAAAATAGAAGAATAACTTGTTATAATCAGTTCAATTTCATTGATAATGTAAATTTTTTTTTTTTTTTTTTTTTTTTTTTACAATTTTAGTGTATATAATATAATTTAAACTCAACAAATATCTATACAAGGTATCTTTACATGCTTTCATTTTGTTTCTCTTTTTTTTTTTGGTTGCTGCCTTTTCCAGCCGTGAATCTCCATTCTATTGTGAATGTCATTTAAAACATCGGCTTTTAAACAAGTTACAAAACAATTCTTTTATAGAAAACCTTCTAAAATAGAATAAACAACAGATCAAGGGAAAAATACATAAATGTATTGAGTTTTTAGAGTTTCGCACCCTTGACATATGCACATCTTTTGACTTGCATGCCGTCCTCCTATTTTTTATGATTGTCCCTTAATTTATTTGCAAAATTATAGAAACGTTCATTTTGTAAGGAGTAAAATAGAATAGCGAACAAAATTAGAAGAATATGCCGAAGATGGTGCAAATCAAAAAATGGTGTCAACGTTAGGGATGCAAAATGCAAATAATCCAAGTGTATTATACAAATTACTAGTGTGCATTTATTTAAAATGCTAATTCTGTGAGATTTTTCAAAATTTTCATTTTCTTAAAAAGTGGATTTATGCTGGCTTTTGAGTTTACTTAGGGATCGTTTAGGTACAAGGATAATTACAAGTGAAAATCTCTTATTCTATGTTTGGTATAATTAGCAATTCTAGAATAATTTATATCATAACTCTTTTTACATTGCATTCTATATATGAGATAATAAAATGAGATAAAACTAATAAAATAACACTTGTCCTTTTCCAAAAAAATTCTCTCTAAGCCTTTTTAAAAAGTCAGGTTAAAATTGAAGATAATTTTTTTTTCATATTTATTTAGTTAAAACCAAATATTGTTGTAAATTATGGTATTTAAAATGGATGTCTATTACTTCCGCTACTCTTCTTCAAGATATAATTAATTTTCACTATTCCTCGCTTTTATTTTTGTAACTATAACCTTATCCGTGATCTTCCCCCAGGATCACAATGGTTAATACCATGTTTGAAGCAACCTTTTTCAAAAGTATAAATAGAGGCATGAGATATGATATGTGACACATTTGAAAACACTCGGAAGAAATAAAAAAGTTATCTCTTTTTCTCTACTTTTCTTGTCTATTTACTTCTATCTTAGTACTAATTAATTAACACTTTATTGGCACGAGTTCTAACTAACTTCATCATCTATACGTTGTTTTTATTCTCTTCGTCTCAACAAGGTACATTTTTTTTAAAGCTATTCTAATACTGCTGCTATGCTTTTTTGTATGTGGTAATTCTTTTGTCTACCTTACTCTCTTGTGATTATGTCACGACTTGAAATTTCTCACCGATGGGATCGTGATGGCGCCTAACATTTCACTTGCTAGGCAAGCCAATGTTAGAGAATCATTAAACCAATTCCTTATTCCCATTCAGTAATTATCAATAATTAACTAAGATGAAATATAATAAGTGCCGAATATCATAAAACTGTATTAATTACTACCACCTGGATCTGGAGTCACAATTCACGAGCATTCTAAAATTTACTACAAGTAATAGTCTGAAAGAAATACAACTGTCTGAATGAAAAAAACAGTAGAACAGAAAAGATAGACGGGGACTTCAAGGTCTGTGAACGCCGACAGATCTACCTTGAGTCTCCGGACAGCGGACCAATAGAAAAATCTCGATCAACCCGAGTCGGTATCAAAATCTGCACAGAAAGTGTAGAGTGCAGTATCAGTACAACCGACCCCATGTACTGGTAAGTGTCGAGCCTAACCTCGACGAAGTAGTGACGAGGCTAAGGCAAGGCACCTACAAATCAACTTGTACAATTTAACATTATATATACAAATAACAGAAATGAAGAACTAAACAGAAAATATCGGGAGGGGAACATGCTGAGGGGAATACGAGATAAAGAAATACAATAGAATGATAACCAAAGCAGTCAACATACCATAAACCAATAGGAATAGTGAATACAGTAAAGAAAAAATGCACGGCATCACCATTCGTGCTTTTACTCTCAATCTCACCATGAAATCAATAGAAACGACACTGCATCACCCTTCGTGCATTAACTCTCATATCATGGCACGACATCACCCTTCGTGCATTAACACTCACAATAAGGCACAGCATCACCCTTCGTGCATTAACACTCATAATATGCCATGGCATCACCCTTCGTGCATTAACACTCACAATATGTCACGACATCACCCTTCGTGCATTAACACTCACAATATGGCACGACATCACCCTTCGTGCATTAACACTCTCCCTTACCATAATGCAATGCATAAATAACAACAGGGAGATAGAATAACAAGTACAAACCTTACTTCAACATTTGGTTCCATAATATCAATCTCAACTTTGAAATAAAAACTCAATTATCACCAGAAAATCCGTAAACATGATAAGAACGATAAATTAAACAACACTAGTATAACACGTAGCTTAGGCAAAGGAATGAGACAATATAAGAAAAACAGAGAAACATGGAAAACAGGTAAATTGGCGGCGCATAAGTACTCGTCACCTCACATATACGCCGCTCACATAAATTTCACTTAGCAAGGAATCTAAGGTTCCTAATTCCCTCAAGTCAGGATTAGACACAACACTTACCTCGCTCCGAAGGCCACTTAATTTTCAATCACAACTTTTTCTTTGGAATTCACCTCCAAACCACTCGTATCTATTCAAAAATGACTCAATAATATCAAATATTGCTAAAGAAATCAATTATATTGCATAAATTAAATTTCCCAAAATTTCCTCCAAAAAGTCAAAAAATCGACCCTGGACCCACTTGGTCAAAACCCGAGGTTCGGACCAAAATTCATTTAACCATTCACCCCCGAGCCCGAATATATAATTAATTTTGGAATCCGACCTCAAATTGAGGCCTACATCCCCAAATTTCTGAAATTCCTAATTTCTACCCTAACCCCTAATTCTACCATGAAAACTCTAGATTTTAGGTTGATAATTCAAGAAATGTAATGGGTAATTGAAAGAAAATGGTTTAGAATCACTTACCAGCACTTTGAGGAAGAAAATGATTCTTGAAAATCGCCTTTACCCGTTTGGTTCTTGAAAGATGTTGAAGAAATGGCTTAAACCCATGTTTGATTCTGTTTTATTCACTGGGCGACAGTGTGCATCGCGTTCGCGAGGCCACTGTCGCGTTCGCGAAGGGTACTGGCTTCCAAGTCTTCGCGTTCACGAGACCCTACTCGCGTTCGCGATGGTTACTCCCCCTGGTCTTCGCGTTCGCGAGACATTGCTCGCGTTCGCGATGAAGGAATGACCAATCCTCCCCCAGGTATGCCTAACACTACGCGTTCGCGAGGAGCTGGTCGCCTTCGCGAAGGGTAACGCCCCCATCGCTTTGCATTTGCGACTAAGCCTTCGCGTTCGCGAAGAAGAAAACTTCAGCTGCCCAGTTTACTCTTCGCGTTCGCGAGAGTACCTTTGCGAACGCGAAAGACCTGCCAGAACACCTGCTGCAGCAAAATACTAGATTTTCAAAGTCCAAAACATCCTGTGGCCTACCCGAAACTCACCCAAACCCTCGGAGCT